TGTGAATATGTCTCTTATTAATTTGAGTTGTTCTGTCACAATTCCTAATAATTTAATATTAAGATTTTGCATGTAATTCAATTATATTTTCTGCTGATGAAGAATGCTGTATTATCTGAAACGTTCGGAGTTATTTTTTTAGGTTTTTCTAAAATTTTATTTTAAACTATATTAAATAAATATAAAATGAATTAAAACAATAAAATTTGATTTTTGCTCGTTATATCTAGCCTTTTCTTATTTTATTGTATTGTTATTAATACGAGCTCGTCATCATCATTACTATTTTTTTCTTCTCGTTATGACCATGTAAATAATTTCTGGAAGTTTTGACAGATGTTCAATACATAAGAAAAATTTTCACAAGATTTTTGAATAAAAAAACAGAATGTGCGCTGAGATATTAATAAATACTCCATTTACAACTAGACATTTGATTTTAAAAACTGTATTTGGCCTACATTTTTCAGGAAAGAAATAAAAATTATAATTTACAAAAATGTTCTTTTCCATTCAAAATCAGAAATGAGAAGGAGATATATTAAACTCCAAAATATCCAAAAAAGCAATTTCTTAATGTAAAAAGATGCTATTTATGTGATAACAAAATTGATTAAAATTCACACTGAAAAATATCCTGGATATGTCCATGCAAATGTTATATGTATGTATACATACCTAGGGGCAACAGCTCGTGCCTTTTTGATACGTTTTTGCTTACGACGGATCTTCCTCGCTGGTTGATTAAACCAGGTCTTTACGTATCGTTGCCAATCCTTATGGAAATGGCCATTTGGGATCATATTATTCCCCTTACCCATGGTTGACGCCTAATATCTGCAACAGAATCAAAATTAAACATTTGCGTTTACATCACTTGAAACTTGAGATATTTAAATTAGATATTTTTGTAGAATTAAATTAGATATATTAATTAGATATTTTAAGACACGGTGTTCGATAACCAATTTGTGTACGAAAAGAGAAGTTAGTATCTCTGATGAACCCAACAGCAGTTTAATTACACGCATAAATAATCCATATTTTACGCAAAATTGTGAATAATGTTAGATACATAAAATTGTTGAGAAAGAACTGCAACAGAGAAAAAAAATCAAAGAAAACAAAAGTTCACCAGCAGCAGTTTGGCCTCGGATTCTAACCTCTCCTTTGTGGAGTAAACAGAATTCAAATCGAAAACAATTATCTCAATACAAGGATTACATATATGAGGCAAAAGTAGTCAGAAATATAAAAAGTTGCACATTCCCATCGTTACATGTTACGCAGCAAAACGATGGTAATACCTCGTACAGATTTAAATCTTATGACATTCACTCACCAACTCACGCAAACGAGACAAATCGGAAAAGGAACGTGAGACCGGCGGAAGTGGTACTTTTGCGAGTAGAAATCTCTCTGTCGCGCAGAAACGAAATCTTTTTACGCTTTTTTCGAAGTTAATAATAATGTCAATAATAATATTAATAATATTCAAGGATAACTAATATTTCAGATTGACAAAGTAAATGATATTCTCAATCCATAAACAGTAATTTATCTACAGTTGTAGAAATAGAAAAATGGCAGCGTATGTAGCGGTAGCGTGATCATGTGTGCGGATGCGTGCACTGGCGTTCAGTCTCACTTTATTTATACGAGAGAAATCTAACTCTTAATGATGATGCAAAGATTACCTTATTCTCTCAAAATATTACGATGCAAGATACGAAGAAGTTTAAATAATTTTTTTCACCAATCGTTGCAACTGTCTACTTCTGATATATCGGTATCTTTGTTTAAATGTTTATCTCGTTAATTTTATACAGAACGTTTAAACATAAGACGTAAAGTTTGTTTAATTATTTTAGCCTGATTTTATTTTACTCGTACATGCGATAATGATAAAAAAATTTTCAATGTTATCTGGTAGTCACCTTATGAAAGTAAATTTTATTAGTAAAGTAGAACTGAAGTTCAAAAATTGTTGTATCTTATTTAGAATGTTATTTATTAATGAAACATTCCTTTTCAGTCTTCAATATGTTCGACAAACATGAAGAAGGCAATAGAGAAGTCTTGGGGTAATAAAGTTAATCCTTGCAAATCTAGTGTTAATGGAGATGCTAAAGATAAATTTTACATTCTTTCTATGTTTCCGTATCCGTCTGGTTCTTTGCACATGGGTCATGTTCGAGTTTATACAATAAGTGACACTATAGCTCGATTTTATAGACTGAAAGGTAGGCCTCACAAAAACTTACAATATTGATTTGTATGAGATTTAAAGAATAAGTCTTTATAATGATATATATAAAAAAATAATTTTTAACAATATAAAATTAATTTAGGCAAAAATGTAATTCATCCAATGGGCTGGGACGCCTTTGGATTACCAGCGGAAAATGCGGCTATTGAAAGACAAATCAATCCTGCTGTATGGACAACTGAAAATATAGAGACAATGCGTAACCAATTAAAAATGTTAAATTATTCTTTTGATTGGGATAGAGAATTTGCAACCTGTGATCCAGATTATTATAAATGGACTCAAGAACTGTTTCTAAAGTTGTTTGATAAAGGTTTGGTCTATCAAAAGGAAGCTTACGTTAATTGGGATCCTATTGATCAGACTGTACTAGCCGAGGAACAAATAGATGTAAATCAACGATCTTGGAGATCTGGTGCACTTGTTGAAAAAAAATTGTTAAAGCAGTGGTTTATTAGAACAACAGCTTTTGCAAAGTAAGTTCGAAAGTAATGTGTGTATATACTATATATATATATATTCTGAAAAATTAATACTTTTAATAAATAAAAATAATGTCATACCAGATCATTATTGGAGGGTTTAAACGATCCAACCTTGAAGGAGTGGAGAGATGTTACAAAGTTGCAAAAACACTGGATAGGTGATTGCAATGGCATTAATATTGATTTTAAATTAGTATCCGAAATTTCAGATTTTCCAAGAATATTAAACATATGGACTGACATGCCAGAATTTGTAGAGTACGCAAAGTTTGTTGCTATATCCTCTCAAAGTATATTAAATCGTAAAGAGCATACATATGAAATAGATGTTGAAATAAAGGGTTTAAACGCAAAAATAATAAATCCATTTTCCGGTGAAGAGTTGCCGATTTTTATTACTGACAAAGTTGTTTACCCACCGTGGAGAAACGTCCGCTTGGGTATACCTTCAGCATCGATGGACGATTTAAAATTCTCGGAGTTAGTTGGAATACCATTTACCCGGCATTCGATACGTAGCTACGAACAGCAACAGCAGAAGATATCCGAAGTATTCCAAAAAGCTAGAGAATGGGGTATAGGAGGATATCCAGTAAGCTCGAAATTGCAGGATTGGTTAATCTCTAGACAGAGGTATTGGGGTACACCTATACCTATTATTTATTGTACAAATTGTGGCATACAACCTGTACCTCGTGATCAACTTCCTGTGATATTGCCAAAGATAACGAACTCAAATTCGAATAAAAGGTTCTCGATCCAAGATATGAAGGATTGGTTGCAGACAAAATGTCCCAAGTGTGGAGGAAATGCTACTAGGGAAGCCGATACAATGGATACGTTTGTAGATAGTAGCTGGTATTTTCTAAGATTTATAGATCCTAAAAATACAAAAGAGATGTTTTCGGTAGAAAAAGTTAAGGAAATGTTTCCCGTAGATCTCTATATAGGTGGAAAAGAACATGGTATAATAACATTTTCTTAATCACTGTATTTCGACATTTTTATCAAAATATCTTTATAAATTTCACACCTTTTAGCCGTGCTGCATTTATACTTTGCCCGGTTTATGAGTCACTTTCTGCACTCGGAAGGTCTTTTACCATGCCAAGAACCATTTAAACAACTTCTCGTGCAAGGAGTAGTAATGGGTAAAACATATCAAATTATAAGTACTGGAAAATATATACCAGAAAATGAAGCGTTGAAGGAAGGGGATCAGTACAAGACGAAATCCAGAGAACTTGTCTCCATGTGCTGGGAAAAAATGTCAAAATCAAAGCTCAATGGAGTTGATCCTCTCAATCTGTTGAATAAGTATGGAATAGATACGACAAGATTATTAATACTGGCCGATGTTGCGCCAACGTCTACTAGAAATTGGTCGGAAAATAGTAAGTTTTTTAAATTACAGTCACTTATTTAAATGCTCTTATTTGAACATAATATACTTATTCATAATTGCAGCGGTGACAGGTATAAACAATTGGCAAAACCGTCTTTGGAATCTTGTTAAACGATTTAAAATTAAACGCGACAAAATGTCTCTGGAGGAATTTGAAAGCAAACCTACCAATCCTAAATATATCGAACAGGATGCATATATGTTTGACAGTCGGAATTATTTTCTCAAAAATGTGACATTTAACATAGTAGAATCGCAGCAACTTAGTGTAGCAATATCTCGAATGCAAGGCCTTACAAATAGGTAAATAATTATATTACTTCAGTAACTCCATGCAGTATAATTTTAATATTTGAATATATATATGTACACATTGAATAAATTTGAATCTGTAATTATAGCTTACGAAAAGTTGACTTGGAGTGTCTAACAAAAAGTCGCGAATTCGAGCGAGCATTAGCTGTTCAAATTACAATGCTCGCTCCATTCGCTCCACATTTTGCCTCTGAGTTATGGGCTATCTTCTGTTCTGCTAAGTATCATCTTATAGATAATACTGAAGTTGACTTAAACAAACCTATATTTGAACAGAAATGGCCAGATATTGACATGGATTATAATCTTGTAATGAATGTTTATGTAAGTATTCTGATGATTCTATTATTAAAATATAAATGCGTGAAAAACGAAGGTGCTTACAAAATTATATACGTTTCTATTTTTCAAATTTTAATTAATCATATTTACACCATACGTAAACATTACAGGTAAATAAAAGAGAATTTCTCAAAATGAAGATTCCTCGACGTGAATTGGACAAAATGGCGGCAGATACAGCATTAGAATATGTGATCCTCCATCCGTATTATCAAAAATATTCGTACAATAAAAATGTTGTAGACATCAATTTTAAAGCAAAGAAAAGCTGTGATGCGTCGTTGTACATAACCATGGAAACACAGATTGAAGATTAGATAAAAGATAATGCTTATTTTAATTTGTACACGTAAGATAATACAAATTTATTATATTTATTAAGAAATATTTATTATAAAGAGAGAACAAAGTTTTTCAATTAAAAATCCATGATAGTTCAACTCGCTTACCTAATGTCATATTCTCCTTCATATCCATTATCTGGAATAGTTTTCAAGAATTTTATATAATCAGTGGGAAGATTGTTTTCTTTGGCCCCTTTTAATATTGTACTCCTGCATGAATCATGGCAAATTTTTAGACGATATTTTTTGAAGATAAAAATAATTGTGTTTAAATTGCTGTGATTGCTTTTTAAATTGCATGTGATGACATACAGGTATAACGGTGAAGGTCTCTTATCCATTGGAAAATCTTCTGGCTTTATATATTCCTTTGGATTATTACACTGCTGGTACACTCGACAATTTAAAGTTCTACCATCAGAAGTTTCAACATTCACTGACATTGCATGATATATATTATCTTGAACACCTTCTTGAGAGTCTAATGTAGCTAAATTGCACTTGTCTAATTCCCAGACTACACCCCACACGACTGAATGTTCTGTTTCTACAATTGTGGCAGATGTTCCATGCCATCGTTTAGAATATCTGTGAAAATCCAGTCTAAAATTCTGTAATAAAAATACATGTGTATTATTTTATATAAATATGTATACATATAAATATACTGTAATGTTAATAAATATATTAATATATAAATGATACAAATATAATAAGATTAATGAGTCTTCTACAATAAGCCATAGAAGTCATAGAAGTCAGAAGCTAAAAATTGACAACTGTGATTGGTCAATTTTCAGTTTCTAACTTCTGATTTATATTTATATATATATATTTATATGAGATATATAACTAATGGCTTATTGTAGAATGTATCTAATATTAAAATGTTCTTGTTTGCATTTAAAGAGAAATTTAATAAGTTTAATAATTTATAGTTTGTATTCTGCATCATTATCTGTTCATATAATTTAAGATTTTTGCATTTTATGTGAATATATTCGTAGATATCTCTAAAAGAAAGATTAAATAGATATTTTCATAGATATTTTAAAATGATGTAGTTTGTATCCTTACTCTGCCTTTTGTAAAGTTTTATTACATGTAATGTAGATATCTACGAATTTATTCACGAATATATAATTATTAGAGATATCTATGAATATATTCACATAAAATGTAAAAATCTTAAATTATACGAACAGATAATGATGCAGAATACAAACTATGAATTATTAAACTTATTAAATTTCTCTTCAAATAATAAGTAATAATAGTAATGTATATGTATATATGTTACGTTTGATTTTATTTAATGCATATTAGTATCAAAATTATATGTATTAAAAATATTTCTGTATATATATATATATATATAACAATTAATATACATATCCATATAAAGTTTGGAATAAATCCTGCATTAAATCAACCAGTACTTTGTCAATCAACAAACTTGGAGACATGGAATAACTTAAAAAAATATGTATATACATCTTGATTTTCTTTTCTTAATTACCTTTATGTAACCGATGTCTTTCATTATTGCGGTCGGATTACATAAATGTATCCTCTTAGCGCATAAATTACTCCCATAAGCGAAATACAGAAACGTGTTTGCCATTTTTCAGACCGATCCAAACTGCAAGTCTTGCAAACTTTTCACAACACTAAAGTAATAAAAAATTTCGCATCTCATTTGACACTATTGCATTACTGCTATTGTTAAAACGGCACCGAGCGCATATATATATAAAACACTGTGTGTACAAAATATATTGTGTGTATTTACGAAAGATAAGATATCTCATGGTTTCTTCCACCATCATATATCATATGAAATATGTCTTATGTGTACAAGTAACAATTAAGTCGCTGTTAACAATAATTATCATGAAGAAAGAGGACGCGCTTTTCGCTTCTCACGAGCGCCGTTTCGGTCTCTACGGTTTCGACGGTGACACCAGGTGACACTGTCTATCACTTAATTAACTTTTATCTGTCTAATTAATCAACCGAGTTTCTGTCAGGATTCACTGTGTCGGTAAACCCGGCGATTGATTTGACGCGCGCTTCGCAACCCAAACCAAAACCGACCGACCGATCGCATCTCTGAGGTAGAGTCAGGAGTGTCAGGACTCTAATTTGAGGGTGTTATTTCATTTGTACGTTTTTGTTGTACAACAAATGTGTATAGAACAGAGAGATCCTCGGATCTCTCTATTCCATAGCCAATCAACAGGCTTGAAAAATTTGTCGTACGACAAAAACGCACAAATGAAATATCACCCTGAAGCGTTCGGTGAGTTCGGTTAAGTTCGGTCGACGAGACACTTGGCTGGCAGCTCTCACTCGTTCTGTCTCGATCGTTTCCCCTTTTTTTTTCTTTTTCCGACCACCGCGGACTGCAGGCTACACTTCTGAGTTCTGGACACTTCGCAGAGGAACTGGTGGATATACACTGGAAATATTTGACGGCGTGGGCCGCATGGACACGAAACAATTCGGCGGGATAATGCCGCAGGAATAGCGTGGCGGTGTTTTTTCATAACCTAAGTCGTAAATCGTGTGAAGGTAAGGCAGCTTTTCTACGAGAACTAGGGCCAATTAAGAAGAAGAACAAGTAAGGCAGCTTGGATGCACATAGGCATCATTACACGGACGCCGAGTCGCGTTCACCGTTGTTTATCACCACGTGTCTTTCCTGGAACGCTTTGTAACAACGCGTTCTCCGCGTCGATCGTCTCTGCGTCTCTTGATCCCTACACTGCTTGTTCTTTTTCTTCTTAAGGCTCCTGTTTGAATTTTCGATCCACTACGAAGGGTTACAGTACCATGCGACAAAAAAGGATCAAGGATCCAGTGATAATCTCCTCGGGGAACAGAGGCTTTGCTTGTTCAAGACTTGCGATTATTATATAGTGTCGATTCAAAGTAGATACTCAAATAGGCCCCTTTCGTATAATTTGCAACAGCCTTAAGCCTTCTAAAACTTAATCACACAGATTGAACAGTAAGTTCCCTAAGTACGACATGGAGTAGTTAACACGTGGAAAATCGTGTATGTGAGGCATGGATGGAATCGAACCTGGATCCTCCGCGAACCTGGATGAGTCCGTGGACGAGTGAAGTCCCGAGTGAAGAGCCATCCACGTCTTTCATCCCTTTACTGTTGTTTTTCCAAATGACAAGATCTTTTTTTTTTATGGCGCGAAAAATTATTATGGGGTTTCTAAGGCAGAGCTGGGATTTAGTTGTACATTTCGACCGATTTTCAGCAATTTTCAGCTTGGCAATGGCCGATCGGCATTTAGGCTGCACGCGGGTTGGTAAAGTAAGAGGCAGGAACCAAGCTGAAAATCGGCCGAAATGTGGAACTAATCCCAGCTCTGTTCTAAGAAATAAAAAGAGAGAGAAAAAGAGAGGGTGATGTGACCCCCGACTTTCAATTTTTTTTCATTGGAACGAATGTTTCGAGAGAAGCATGGATTGCATGATATTGTGATAAAGCATATAATATTTTTATGATAGTTTAAAAATAATATATAATATTTTAATTTAATCTGTTGTAGGCAGATATTTTTAGAATTATGTTTTTAGAATTTAAATATATTGGGTACATTCCAAGTTAAGCATGAAGCCCATAATGCATCATTTGTTCTTGTTCACCATATAATAAAGAAGGACAAAACGATACATCATGCACTTTATGCATAACTTGGAACGCACCCATTATGGAAAATTGTACAATTTTAAAAATTGTAAAAATAATTTATTGCATTTATTGAAGTTATTTTCATCGAAAGGAGGAATGATTTTACGATTTTGCTGATGTATATCGATCGTCATAATATTGTGTATTCAGATTATACAACTATATAATTTAATCTTTCACTGAATTTTTATGTCACAGAAATGCCGCCTACTAAGAAGGGAGACTTGGATAAGTTAGCATGGGCATGGATAGAATCCATCAGTCCAGATGAGATTGAGAAAATACATTTAGAAACTGCATATAGAATTGGATTAAAGAGTTGTAAAAATTGCAAGTAAGTTGGAAATTATTTTGGAGGAATAAAAGATTTGTATACATCAACTATACTGCAAAGTTTACTGTGTGATAGGGATAAAGCGATAGACAACACTACCTTAACATAAAACTTTTATTTCGCTCATAGAGAGACACTTTCTTTTTTGTTCTGCCTTTCTTTCTGAAATTCCCTTGATTTTTGATTTTCCCAAAGTTCATCTGTCCCGCAGCACACATGTTACTAAACCATCGTGCTGCGACGATCATGCTTAACTCTGCGAGATTTAAACTGCATTTGGGAATACACATCGTGTGTCTCCAAGTATCATTCTATTGTTATTTATCAAATGTTAAACAAGGATAAATTGATACTTGGAGAATATATTCCCAAATGCAGCCTCAAACGCATTAAAAGGTTCTACACTAAAAGAAGTTCCGCGTCTGACTTTCTTTCCTTCTACAACTGTAAATATGTATTCATATTAAGATGCATTATCTGTTTCAGACGTAATTGCACCTATAATCCACAATGTCTGACAGGTTTAGGAGAAGACAAGTATATGAAGTCCCAGCCGGCCGAGGTAGTGTCTTTAGAAAGTTCCTTATCAGAGTTACGCGACCCGACCCAATATGTTGGCTTAAAGAATCTAGGTGCTACTTGCTACGTCAATAGCTTAATTCAAATGTGGTTTCACAATGAAGACATGAGGTATATACATGATATATATTAATTAAAACTGAACCTTTTACATATATGTTGCACATCATCTTGATAAATTTAATACCAACAGGAGAATAATATACAAATGGGATATTACGGAAGATCCAGAGGAGAAGGAGGCGTTGTGCCAGTTTAAGAAAGCAGGAGTACCTTATCATCCAGTAACTGTAGTTGGCCAATTGCAGTACACTTTTGCGATGATGCAATTCGGCAATCGGAGCCTTCTTGATCCAATCAATCTCGCTATCGCGTTATCCTTGGATACCAGAACACAGCAAGATGCGCAGGAGTTTTCCAAGCTACTATTGTGCCATATCGAAGGAAAGCTACAGCAAAACTCAGAACTGAAGCAGATGCTGCAGAGGCTGACTCAGGGAAAATACAGCTATATCAATCGGTGGGTTTTCTGAAGGAACAATGAGAATTTTCCTAAACGATGATGGTGCTGATGATCTTGACGATGACAACATGGTAGGACACGTTGCTCGCTACGATGACTGGCGCGACCAACTGATCCGGTGGAGAGTGAAATGACTTTTTAGTGGATAATTAGAATTTTGTGTTTGATGCAGTTGCTCCACGTGCAGCACTGAGTACCCAACGTCTACCACATTCTATGAGTTGGATCTACAGCTGGCAGCAACTTTGAAAGAGGCGATCGACAATTATTTATCAGAAGAACAGCTGACGGGGGCGAATCAATACCATTGTGTCACTTGCAATGATAAAAAGGACGCCAGGCGATTCATACGACTGGAGTCTCTCCCAGAGACTTTAAATATTCAACTAATGCGCTTTGTATTCCATAGGTGAGCTTTGAGTTTTTATGAATTTTATGATAGTAACAAACTTGATTTGTCCGAAATAATGGTGTTGTAATTTATAATAGAGATTCCGGACAGAAGAAGAAGTTGAATTCGTATATTCAGTTTCCCGAAGAGCTTGATATGTCGGAATATATTAGGTGTCAGCCTCAAACTCATCTTTACAGTCTCGTCGCTGTATTGAGCCATAAAGGTCCATCTGCACATTCTGGGCATTACATTGCGAATATATGTAATTCAAGCGGGGAGTGGTATCAATTTAGCGACGATAAAGTTGAAAAAATGCAAAATAAACGAATCGAGGATAGCGTAAATGGTAATTTTTTTTTATCAAATACTTTGTATTTAATAATAAAGAAAGAAATGTATGGCTTTTCATGCGAGAAGGCAGAAAGTGAACTTTTTTCTTTTTTTCTGTATAGATAAATCAATGAAACGTGGACGTGTTCCAAAGGGATTTCTATCGTCCAACACAGCTTATATGTTGGTTTATAAAAAGTTAACTTCAGATGGACGAATAAATGCTGCGAAAAAAGCAAAATTGAAAAAACTTGATGTGGAAATAAATGCCTCCAATGATACTGTTTACTGCGAGAAACTTTCAGTTACAGAAAAATCGGATACCGCGGACGAGCCGAAACAGAAAGCTGATATTGAAGACGCACCATTAATTGAAGAAGAAAACTCTGAAAAAATATTGAAATTAGATTTAGAGAATGTAATAGAAATAGATGAATCTGCAATATCTAAAAAGACTGATACACCTATCACAGGTGAAAATGATACACCTATCACGGGTGAAAATGATACATCTATCACAAGTGAAAATAATACACCTATCACAGGTGAAAATGATACACCTATCACGGGTGAAAATAATACAGAAATTGTAGCTAGCACAAATGGATGTAAAGACACACATGATTCTACCTTAGAACAAGTACAAAAAGTTCACGATCTAAAAGAGTCAGTAGTGAAAGTTGGTAAGGTAGATTATAAACGATTGAATGGTGACGCACACAGAGCTATGAGTTGTGGTGAACGTGATTTTTATGAAGAGGTAAAAATCCTTAAGATATAAATTCTTTTTGGTTCACTAAATTTTGATTTATTAACATTAAATTAAATGTATTTTTTTCTTTACAGATGGAATTTGAGAATTGGCAAGTAAGCAGTACGATGCGTGAACTTGTCAGACAAGAAAATGTTAAACACGAATTGAGTTTGTTAGCCGCACAGCAAGAAAAAGTAAGGAAATATTCGATCGTATAACGTGAAAACGATAGAATTATTATACTTTTTTTTTTATATTCGTTGCTACATAATTTCCTCTTTTTTTAGCAAAAAGAAATTGAGGATCAGAATTCCAAACGACAACTCGTAATAGACGTGTATAATATAATCCATTCAACAGTATCTTGGAGTAATTATTATTGGATACCAACTGACTGGCTATCGAAATGGTTGATCGGACATTCCTCTGCAGTCGAAATCCGTCCGATCGACAATTCCAATTTAATGTGCTCGCACTATCGACTTGATCCAATGAAAGTTAGTCGTATGAAATGCGTGCCGGAATTAGCAGCTCAAATGCTTTACGATAAATATCTAGGAGGTCCGCGGTTAGACCAGACATTTTTATGCGAAATTTGTGTAAAACGACGTTGCAAATTATTGCGTTTCAAGATAACACTTGAACGAGATCACAAAGAAGTTGGAGAGTTAATTCGTACATTTAAAGAACCGTAAGCTGCTCATTATTTTTTAAAGTTTACTATAATAAAAAAAGTGAGATAATAACATTAATAATAATAATAATTATGATATATGTTTCTGTCGTTTTAGTGTCGAAACGAGCTATATAATTGGTACCGATTCACTGCGATCATGGCGAAGGTTAGCCATGGAAACGTTTCAAGAGGATATAGAACAAAAGGAGGACGATTGCCAGGATACTCTGCAGGAGGAGAGTAAGAATATGGACAAAGACGGCAACGATTGTCCGAAGGAAGTCGAGGAGAATAAGGAAAATGAGGTTATTATAAACTTCAACGAAGATTTACTCTGCGAGCACAAGTCTCTTAAAACGGCAGATTCCAGTAGAAAAGTGATACCTCAAGAGGCATGGGTGATTCTTAAAAAATATTTTCCGGATTCGAAAGAATATCCCGTTGGATCGCCGTCCTGTTCAATCTGCGAGGTAAATAAGTCCTTTTTCTCTTATTTGCGAATAAATTATTGAAATTTAACAATTTATTTAGTTGTCTTTGTATCTATATGTACTGTTGATTTTCAGGAAAAGATGGAAAGTGCGCAAAGAGCGAAGAAAGACGACAAAATAAAGGCGAAGCAGCAGAAAGACGAGCTTACCGACTTGTATTACGGAAAGAATAGGAATGAAATTTCCAAATGCGATGATCCTCTGAAATCTTTCTACATTGTGGAGAAGAGCTTCCTGGACAGTTGGCGTTCCTTCATTCGGTGAGATCGCTTAACCTTCTGAGGACCGACATGTTTTTGATCGACTTTTTTATTTTAAGGGTTAGAATTTTTTTGTCAATGTCATGGGGTTGAATAGCGAAAAAGGTGGCGTCACTCGAAGGAGCCTCCGAAAAAAAAAAAATGACATCCCTTATTTTTTAAATTAAATATCATTAGATATTGTTAGAATAATTAAAAATTAACTAAAACATTTCAAAAAGGGTCTCTAAAAGGGTCTCCGGTCCTCCAAAGGTTAAATTTTACATTATTTATTTCATGCTGTGGCGTTGTAATTGCAATTCTCGGACGAATGTGTTTTGCGATAATCTTTCACCCGTTTAGATAGTATATTAATTAAAAAAAATTAAAAGTTTTACATCCATACATGTTTTCAATGTATACAATTATGGATTTTGACGAGCCAACTTTCGGAAAAAAAATGATACGTAAAAATAATTGTCTCCCGAAATAAGTTATCATTTTATAGTCACAACGCTTTCTATGTGTCGATTAGATAAACATTATAAATTTTATTGTTGGCTGTCGGTAACTAACTGCGAGTTTCGAGCGTTTCTTCTACGTTCGTATGTTTCAATTAAGATGGCGCTAGTTGTCCTGAAAATTGCGCGCCACAGTTTTTCAACCGCCCGCCATTACGGGGCGAGACGCAGTCGGTGATGAGCAACGTTTTTTCTACACCTAATATCGGTGAATAATACACGGAAAGGTATGTTATTCAATAAAATTAGACGCTTGAAAGAAAGTATTATGTCGTAAATAGTATGTATAGAAATAGCTGTATTGAATCAAAATTAATGAAAACCGAGTTAAAAATGGATTGAGTATTTTCTTACATTTCTTTCTTTTTAAATTTTAACTCACTGGTGTATTTAAAAGATATCTAATATTTCATTGAATTGCAATTTAATCTGAGTGCATATAATTATTTACTTATGCTTTTTCTCAAGCACCCTTACATATTTGGACGAAAATTTAGTATAAAATTTTTGCCGGGTAAAATTAATGAGGATTAAATATTCTTCAGTTAAAAATTTTTTTAATTCTAAAATAAATTTAATATTCTTCGATTTAAAATGTTGATGCATTTGAAGAAATATTTTATTGCAATTCAACCTGCTATATATGTATAATTATTTATTTACGTTCTTCTTAAAATGTCTTCCGTTCGAACGTGAAATTTTATTTCGACTCTCCTATTATACGATTACGAGATTTTTGCGAGAAACGCGGTGACGAACGTTCGATCTCGCGCTCGTCGACCGTAGTCGAAACCGGTTGTCGTAAATGTTGGAAAGGGAGGGTGAACGGGAAGGGTAGATATATCCGGGATGTATTAACGAGCTTTTCCTAATTATGAGAAAAAATTGGACCGCGCGATTAAGCTGAGCGGCGGTGGTGGGCTCCTCTTTCTCTCGTCTCTCGCTCGTGTGGCTGCGGGGGAGGGTCGGGCACTGGAGAAAACTAATTGAAACCGCTTAACGACCCGCCGGCAAATGATACATCGACCCCGACGAAGGGCCACCGGTGTCTTAATATCGTTTCGCCTTCTTCCACGGTCAAGACCGTAAATGCAATTTGGACTCTCGCTCGATCTTCTTCGAGTTTCTACTTTTCTGGTAATCTACACTTCACTTGGGGAAAACCATCTCAAAGGCACACACTTCTGAAGTACGCATTCATCAGGAATGAATCTGAGCTCTTTTTGTTTTTGCTCTGTCCGTTGATCAGAAATATCGGCCAATTCAATATGTCAAGTCTGTAAATACTTCAGAGCCATCCATGATTATTTATAGACCATAAAATTTATTTATTTGAATATATACAATTAGCATAATGTTAACCTTTGACTACAGCAATGGGTCATTTGGACCCGAAGCGAAAATGTTTGGATGATCGTACAATCTGTACGATTAGTGTTACGAGGTTTTAAATTGTAAAAAACTTTGATGGACTTTCTACAATATGTCATTATTTATATCACACTAGTGATAAGTCAGAATTCTAAGTTATAAATCTTAGGAACATCCATTATATTTTTCGTTACGTCATAATATTTCGGCCAATCGGAAGATAGTTTTCAGGGTAAATATCAATACACTACACTGTTAAGAAAAAATAAATTTGCTTCTGTTACATGTAATGTTATGATTTCTTCGTTATATTCTTCGTCTTTTTTTCACGGTGACACAAGAATTAGAAGAAAATTTTTCTTTCGTCGCTCGCGTTCTTTCCTAAACAAAAAAGATCCTTCCTCTAAATATTTTAGAGAAATTTTAGTAAATTCTATGGCGACTCTCTGCTCGAATATGATATCGTAAATACGAGCGAGATCCTTCCGACAGCGAAAAAAAGTCTTTTAACATCCAGGATGGCATTATCTGTGCCCTCCCTTATTATACATTCTCTCGTGCGGCGCGACACGTTGGCTGGACACTTCGGATTGACAGATTCAAATTCGCCGGGGCTTAAATCTCGTGGATTCAACGGTATGCGAGCTAAACCGGGATCAACCCTTCTCGCGGATTACACGTTTGTCGTGTCACGCGCGATTTCGGTATACACGATACGCGTAGGGGGTATGAAAACCACGAAATAAGTGGTCAGGTTCCCGTATCAAACAAGCAATTACACGCGTAAGAAGAAGGATATATAACTGTAATGTTCTTCTCTTCACATAATATGATGTAGATGAATATAGATTACTACATTTCTACGTATTAAATTTTTAACAGTATCTCTGAAAATAATCTGGTATTTATAAAAAAATTTCATTCTATATCGCATTTTGATATTAGAGAGACATGTAAAAGAACGATAATTCCCTATTTCGACCCCATTTCTTGAGATTGTGAATATCCACGATCTATTATCGAGAATTTGCTATTAACCGAGGGAGGGAAAATGTGAAAAATATTTTTCCGGACCGCTGGCATTGTCTTCGACCGACTCCTTTGTGACGTCGGTGATTAATTTTTCAGCAGGTCGGGCATGCCGCCCCTTTTTTGCGTCACCACTGCCAGTATAATCGTTCTTTGTATTTTTCGAACAAAACTCCATAGTTCGTTGCTTCCATTACACATAGTTATATTATACAGTACGTGTATAGTACATTTTTTGCAATACTTGGGATATAAAATTACTCTCTATATATCATACATATATATTTTGTATTAAATTGTCTATATTTACACTATTCTACAATTACAAGTACATGAACGTTTTTATTTTCTCCGCATTATCAGTTTGAGTAATTTCAAATGATCATTTTATTTGTTTAAAAGCATAAAGAAGCAATTTTTCGACAAATGATCTTTTAAAAATATAAAAAATAATATTACTAGCTATTAAATTTAATATATACTTTTATTTTGAATGGTTGCTCGAGTTGAACTGTGCATGATATATAAATCGAGTGTTTTTCACTTTTAATTTCTTATTTTTTTTATTAAGTATAGAAAAATAATTCTTCTAATTTATCTCTTGATAAGCAATCATTTGCTCCTTCTGTTACCCCTTTTATTGATAATTAGCTAAGACTCGCTAATCGGTCACTTTGGAAGCTCTCACGCCTTTAGGAGAACAAATGGTGACGAGAATTGCAATCCGTTTAACTGCTTCAAACAAAGTCCCCCGCCAATCCGTCAACGTCGCTCAGATGGATCTTCGAAAGGATTAGGATTTGCATAAACGATCATTCAACTTCTACTTGACGCCACTCATCCTTTCTTTTGGTGCGTGGATATTCCCTGACATTGGTGATTTAAAAACCTACACCTCGTAGGCAATGACATAGAAATTGTTGATTATAATTAACTTTATAGAAACTGTTGATTATTATTGTCTGTCATTAGAAATGCATTTTATTATTTTCTTCGATGCATTTGGGCATAAACATATTGTATAATTTATTACGAAAAAAATAAGTAGATAGTATAGCGAGATATTTAATTTTTAATATCAGATATTAATCTTTACAGGACGTGAAAGCCACTAGAGTGTTATATTTTGAGGCAAGAAATACAATGAATAATAAATTATAACAAATCTTACTCAAGGAAAAGTTAGAAGATATAAAAAATGGATCTCATCCTCTAAAGGTTAATGATAATTACTTTATACATATACATAATGTATACAATTTTACGTGAAAGATTGATTTATTTTTCATTCTTTTGACAAACGAGTAAGTATTATACGACGTTTATTACCTGAGTACAAGCTTCGTCGCAATGTCAGCGTCTATTGGTCGCACGCGTTCCCAGTTTGACTTTCGCACTTCGGTAAATAATTATTAATGATCATGCTTGGGGAAAATGTGACCGCGATCTTGTTGACACCGCATTGTAACACCGCGGACAATGGTGCCGTCGTCGTCGTCGTCGTCGTGGGTCTCGGAAGCGTGCGCCGCGAGACTGGCGTAGAACGGAGGAGGTGAATGTGATGGTCGGGGAAGGGCAGAGGCCATAATTAATAACTGGGAATTGATTAAGGTGCCAGATAAGTCCATGGAGCCGGTAGCTTGTGTCTCTCGTCTCTCCTCATCCTTCTCGCGCTCCCTTCGGCTGTCTCTCGCGCGACGCGCGTTACAATATGATTAATAATTTCAAGATAACGCCGTCGTCCCCGCAGAGTCCCTAACATCGTAGTCGTCCCTTCGCGAAGGACCGATTTGCGGCCCCACTTACGGTCTCATAAATGACTAATTATTCTCACCGTCCTTCGTTCAGCTGGCCATTTACGCTGGTTGTCCGACGCTCCGAACGCAAATCTCCCTCGCGCACAAATCCGTTCGAAGAGTCAATTTTCTCCTGTAGAGAGTACGCAAAGTTTTTGCTTCGCGCTCTCCTTCATCGGTTGACGACGATCGGCTGATTCGCTCTTACGGAAAAGCATCTATCGCTGTTTCGATAACTCGATGCGGCCTGACGTAGGTTTCCCTTTCCTCTTCAGCGAGGGGTGAAACACCGAAGAAATTCCGA